GACCCAAGAAGAAAGCATCGGATTGAAATGAAGTTTAATGCACATAAAGACACAGATGAGAGATTCTCTTGATCTCAAAAACAAGACAATTAAACGAATACAGGGTGTGCAATGGCACAAATACTGGGCAACTTCAATAGCGCGTTGGACCACGTCCAGCTGCAATACATGCCACCACACAGTGCGGAATTGAATTGATTAGACACCTTATATTGTCCTGAGGCAGATGGACCCACAAATCTTGAACAGCCAACTCTAAATCCTGTACAAAGTGACACGATGGCATCAGCCGTTTTAACTGATCCCACACGTGCTCTACAGGGGACAAATCGGGGGAGTGGGCCGGCCATTTAAGAGTCTGAAAATGACGTAGGAAGTCTTGAGCAACTCTTGCTGTATGCGGACGAGCATTATCTTGCTGGAAAATTGCCCCTGGGAGACCATTTAGGAAAAGTCCTACATGGGGTCGAAGAATATCATGAACGTAACGTTGGCCCGTTAAGGTTCCACGCATCACAATTAAAGTGGACCGGCTATCATAGGCTATGCCCCCTGACCATTACACCAGCTGTGCGGACAGTGTGACGTAGAACAGTGTGGGGGAATTGTACCGCTCCCCAGGGTGGCTACACAGCAGCACACGGTTATCATCTGTCCCCAAAACAAACCGGGATTCATAACTAAACACAACCTTTTGCCAATCTGTGACATTCCACATTGATCTGGCATGGCACCACTGTAGACGCAGTTGCCGATGTTCCGGTGTTAAAGGGAGTGCACGGAAAGGGCGCTTGGATTTAAGATTTCCTTCTGCAAGGTGTCTGGAAATTGTTTGTGGAACAATTACTACGCCAACGTCTGCTCGTATCGTTGAACGAGTCACTGTGGGGTCCACAAGTGCTTGCCGAAGGATCCTTCGATCATCTCTCCTCGTGGTCTTCCTGGTCGCTCCAGACCCGGGTTTCCACGCGTGGGTACCTTCTCGTGTCCACTGCTCCCAACAATTTCTAACGGCACACTCCGAACGATCCACCTGGCCACAACACGGCGCGTTGACCAGCCTGCAGTTTTCATCCCGATGGTCAGGCGTCTCTCAAACTCGCTTAACTGTGAGAAATGTCTTCTAGCACGTTTATCTGGCATGTTTCGCTTACCAAAGTCTTCCTACAATCGGCGGGTAATCGTCACGTTTATGAATCTTCGAATTTGCGCTGGCTTATATAGCACTCTCTTCCTGATTGTAGAGCTACCTCGGCGTGTATGAGCATGCGTATTGGCACAAATCTTGGATCATTTGCATATCACATTACGCTGTACTTATTTGCAAAGTTTCGCGATTGTTCTTAGCTTCCTTCTTGGGTCGCTATTTTCAATGTTCCCGAGTGTATATGGAAAGAGTGAACTAATAGTAGGAATTGAAAAATGCTTTAAAACTCTAAAACTTAAGCGATTAAAATTATGAAACTAAGCGTAGTTTCTTTCAATTACAAACAGCTGAATCCAGCAAACTTTTCACTGAAAAGAGAAAGCAATAATTGCAGACTAATGAATCATTATTATCGAAATGCTACCTTTCCAAAGATTTTGAAAGCTTTAAAATATTTGCTATAATAAAATATATAAACATAATGAAATACAAAACTACATTTATATTTCCATTTTATTGGAATACTTTCCAACAGATCTCTATTTTGAGCAGCAGAAAAAAAATAATTTACATTTTAACTAGAAGAATTTCTTTCAAGAAAGTGAAAGTAAAAAAACAGGATAAAGGATCACGAGGAACAAGGAAGAATGAACACATGTGCATGCTTTGTTCCATTGTTATAAATGTTTATGTACTGGCGTAAAAAAAAATGTAAGATTATTTTTTCTTTTGAAAGAAAGGATGAAATACTATGTGGGATCACAGCCAAAAAAAAATCACTTTTCGTTGTACACAAGAAAAGATTTCTTTGTTTTATCGGCATTGAAGCATAAATTGTAAACCTCAATACAGAAGTCTTTGTAATTTCTAGTTTTGCTAAATGCTTCAAAAAATGGGCGTTGATATCACAATGGATTAACTGAAAAGAAAATTGAAATTAATTTATATTTTATCATTTCACAAATTCAGTCGTTCTCTCTTACCAATAATTTAATAAAGCAAACTTGACGTTTCTGTGTCATTTCCTTTTATTTCTAGACGGACCTCGTAATTTTGAACCATGGTCAAGTGACGACGATATCTGAGCTAGCACCCCCTTTCCTAACTACCCATCACACCACATAACAGGAGAACGTTTGAGCTCTCGACAGATTTAACGTGCATCACTCCACAAAACGGCGGGTCCTCAGTGGTACTAGGATCGAACTCATGACACGCCTGACACGAGTCCGTTACCTAGACCAGTGGTCTCTAACCACCGGTCCGTGGATCAAATACTACCGGTCCACATAAGAAACATTAAATTATTTCCATCTTATTTACTGTGGTATATTTTTCTTGGGTTTTGGCTGCTTTTCTTATGAAAATCACTTTGTGACGAATCTGTACGGCACCTTTCCACTAATATTCTTAGGGGATTGTAAATTCGCGTATATTTCCAATCAACTCTAAAAGGAGAAAATGGGATATGTAAAGTAGATAGGGTATTTAAGGAGAGCGTTGTAAGTTAGCGGAGAAGAAGGCTACTGAGCCAGCAGCAGTAATGGCAAAGTTTATAGGATTCAATTGGATTACGATAGTGGAGCATTGCTGTGAGTATTCAGAGAAGGAACCTTAGGAGGTTAAATATACCTGAAGAGATCATAATTATTAACAAGTGATATATTCTAGTTTAATACCACTTACCACAAGCGTTAGTTTAATAAAATTAGTTTCAGCTATTGAAAGCTACTAATTCAAGTTGTGTGTATTTCTCAGACCTCCTATTTCGGTAAACACTTTTGATATTGCGCGTAGTTATTGATTAAAATTTCATATTTCGTAATTTAATTTAATATTAAAGGTATAAATCCCTTTTGTTTGACGTAGACATACAGATACTATTTGTCATTACAGTTTTTGATATTTGAATCAAGTGAATAAATATAAGTTATTATTATACAAATGGCGTCTGGTCATTCTTTACCTCAAATTAATCTTAGTGTCCAGGGTGGAACCCAAGGGGGATTCCCACAACTTTATATTCCTTGTTAAATCCTTTATATTCATTTTTGGTGTAGCTATATGTTATTCTGAAGACACGTTTAAATACCATTAAAATAAAATTATTAAATCAAAACAATCTAAAATATAAACAAACAACGTCCCCCTCCTCAGCGGGCTGCAGTAAAATTATCCAACACGTTGACCGGTCCGCGGCGATAAAAAAGGTTTGGGAGCACTGACCTGGACCACTTGGGTTAAAGCGGGCTCACACACAAAAAAATCACAAGATAAATAAATATGGCACTAATGGCTTAAGGTAACTTTTGGGGTAAAATGAGACATAAACTAAAACATATAAGGAATACTTAATAAACATTATTTTAAGAAAGCAAAGTGATATATCGTTTATATATAAGTGGTATGTATTACCAATTTAAATATATTTATTTTTTCTTGCACTGTACATGCAAATGTAATCGATTTTTATCCGCAGAGTACACAACTTCAAAAGTAATTTGAATTCTCGATAAATCTCCATTTCCACATAATTTCTTTAAAGTAATTTATTCTGTCTAGCTTTTTTTTTTTTAAGCAAAAACTTTCTCTAGAGGAAAAGAAAAAAATAAACACATTTGAGATGAAGTAGTATATTATATTATCCCCGCCGCTTTTCCTTCGAGTAAATGAGGCATGCTTAGAAAAGTAACGATTTAAACGCATTCACTCGCCTAAAATAAATAGGTTTTAAAATACTCAATCAATATATAAATACCCTTGCTTTTGCACATAGTCTTGAATTTCCACATGGTGGAAGAAATATTATCCGTACAACACGAGACGAGCTTCATAGCTCCATCGATCGCCTTTATCGACACAGTATTAAAATTACACAGCTGAGGTGAGGATTTGACTTAATCCATTTTACTTTGACTCTTAAGGAATTTTTTTAAATAAACTACGACGGATAAAGAATACAACACAGAGAAAAAGAAGAAACGTTGGATTCCCTTTTCTCTCTTGCAATCCCGAAGTCACAAAACTCGAAATAGCGACAATAAATCAAATGGGCTAGTTTACTTCAATTGGGATTCGGATAGTGATTGCTTCTTTTTTTAAAGATCTTTTTTTTTTCGGGGTGGGGCGATGGGAAGGATCAATAATGAAAGTGAAACAAATCTCACAAAATGCAGAAGAATTTTTTTCTTTTCTTTAGTTTTTTTTTAATCTTTTCACATTGCAGTAATTGATACGTAGAATCTCCAAACAATTAATTCCATGCCTATCTTTAAACTGAATTTCACATAAAATAATTTTCTGTTTATTAAGTATTTACCAGATTGATTGATTGATTGAACATTAACGTCGCACTGTTCAGCTACACGAGGGCTTTTGGCGACGGTCCACGTAATTTTGAACCATGGTCAAGTGACGTGGACGACATCTGAGCTGGCACCCCCTCTCCTAACTACCACACCACACCAACGGGAGGACGTTTCAGCTCTCGACAGATTTAACGTGCATCGCTGCCCTACATGGCAGGTCTTTAGTGGTACTGGGCTCGAACTCGTGACAAGGCAAGCCACGATCCGATACCTATACCACTCGGCTACCGCGGCCACTAAGTATTTACCAAGGATGTAACGTAGCACGCACGCAGGCCTTCTCGTAGTGCACCATGGGTAACGCAAAATCTGCAACAGCTTTGCCGCCTCTGTGACTCTGGTCAGCCAATGACCACCATGTGTCCTGCACAAAATGGTTTTGATTGTGTTATCGAAAAATATTGGAAATCACATGCACTTATGACATAAATGCTATTTGCAATGAGTGGTATTTGTAAAATAAGTATTTACCATACTGAGTACCGCCACACCCAGTATGGTGGTAATGACACTCAACTTGTAATCGAGTGGGTCCGGGTTCGAATCCCGAGTAAGGTATGGATGTATCTTCGGGAAAAGAAGTCAGACTTTCGCTTGAAATGAATTCCTCTCTCGAATGGAAGGCAGCGCACCCCTTCTGTTCTATGCTGGGATCATCTTTTGAAATAAAAAGTCTATATTCTTCTGAGACTGTATTGTAGGTTTCTGTGTATCAATTTCTCGTCTTTCGTATGTATTTCACTATGAAACACACGACAACAACAACCATATTCAATAAGAGTTTTCAATTACGTCGTACTACAAAGTCACACAATGGCTATTGGTGACGGACCTCGTAATTCTGAACTTGGTCAAATGACGAGGACGATACCTAAGCAGGCATCTCACTTTCCTACACACCCCACAAACTGGAGGACATTGAGCCTTGACAAATTTAACGTGCTTTGGCCCCGTCTACACGGAGGGCTTTCAGTGGCATCAGGATTCTAACCCTTGACATTCCGGCCACGAGTTCAAGCCCAGAACTCAGTGATTCTCAACCACTGTGCCGCGGTACTTTTGTGTGTGCCACCGATTTTTTAAAAATAATTAATAATACTCTGAGAAAAAAAATAAAATCTAGAATCTAACCATTCGACCGTTTAAAAGAAATAAGTTAATGGTACTCGTGGTTTATTTAACTAATTCTTGCATGGATAGATGGAAGTGTATCATAATATAAAGTAAAAATCTAATAAGTAAAATTCTTTTAAACTTATTTTATTGTCAAGTGCCGCCAAATTTTAAAACTGTTAAAAGTGTACCACAGCAATAACACCAAAAAAAAGATTGAGAATCACTGCTATAACCATTAAGGTTACTACTAACACATTGAACATACTAACAAAAAACATCAAAATGTGAGAATCCCCTTGGATTCCACCCTGGACACCAAGATTGGATTTAGGCAAAGAACAACCAGACGACATTTTTACAATAACAAATTATATTTATTCATGTGAATCAATTATCAGCCTTCTAATTACAAAGATTAATCAATATGTCTACGTTAATGTGATTGACCTTACTATTAAATTAAATCACGAAATATGATACTAATTAACTATTAAACTCAATATCGAACGGGATTACCGGAATAAGAGGATCGAGAGATACACGCAATTTGAGAGAGAGAGAGAGAGAATTACTAGCATTCATTAAATTACCACTAACTTTAGTATATATTTACTCTTATGATCCGATAATCTAGATTTAAATCTCACCTTCCTTTTACTACCTCACTTTCCAAGCGTGTCAAACTTTCCAATTGTAAATCACTGCCTAATAATCAGCGAGACGCTAATCGCACAATCAACTTGAATCTTCTTAGAACACCTTCAACCTATCTCTTGGCGTAATAGCCTACTGTTAACTTACAACAGTCTCCTTAAATACTTTGACTAATTTGCATATCCCGGTTTCTTCTTTTAGAGCTGGTTGGAAATATACGCGAATTTACAATTCCCAAAGACGCCTAAGAGTATTAGTGATAAAGTGCCGTACAGATTCGTCACAAAAAAGATGATCATTTTTTTAAATACTTTCATTTCCTTGCAACACTAATCAAAACTTCTTCATGATATAAATTCGACGAGGCATGTCAGAGATCATTTACAGTTTCAACACAGAGAAAGTATTTACATTTCGTTTTGAAGTTTATCATTGTCCTGTCTTCGCGCACATGCGTTGATTTGGGGTGTCAGTAGAATGTTATCACGATTGCGCTATCTTTTCGTCAACTATGCCAACGTAAAGATGTCAGTACCAATATCAATTTGTACCAAAGAAAAAAAGGTTATGTTTTTGTCTGAGAGTTAAAGAAACCTCTATACTGTGAGAGGAACTACCATCAACGGCGTGAATTACAGTGATTTGCTGGTCAACGAACTGAAACCTGTAATTCGCAAAGAAGAAAATCCGCGAGGTCTAACATCGAAATTGTTATTACATGACAAGTTCGTCTTCATACAGCTCACATCACCGTAGAAACCAATAACTACGATTCAAACATTTTTTTTCACAGAGAAGAGCAAGAGTTTTAAGAATTAACCTAAAATATAATAATTGGTTGGTGTGAATTAATGTATCACTAGACACTACGCCATGCCTATTGGTGCCATTACCCCATTATTTCGAACCTAAGTTCGGTAACGAGTGTTTTTAAGACATGGGTCAACTGGGCTTGCGCCGTAGGTCCCGGCCTCAGTGGCCCCGTTTATGGAACCCGGCATAATACCGGCAATTCCGAAATGCGGATGAAAGCCGGGATTATACCGGTATTTTTTCGACCCGTTTACATGAGAATCGGGTGCGTTTTCATAAGAATCTGGTGATTGGTTGATAGATTCACGTGATTATAAAATGTAACCATGGAAACAACTAGAATTTTTAGCGCGATTATCATGAAGAGGACATGTGATTGTTTTCGTTTTTTACCGCCAAACATTTCTATGCTCTTGCACATTTAAACTATACCCACTAAAATTTCGTATTTGACTATACGTGGTTGCTCAATTATAGTAAAAGAAGTCGACTGTCGGAAAAAAATCTCTTTAATATCCCGGTAAAAATTCGAGTGTTTAGTAAAAATGGATAAGAACGACATTTGTTTTCAATACCAACCATTTAGAAACCGTCGCCACCAATTTATTTTAAATTAAATTATATAGAGAACATACATAAAAAGATAAAATATATTAGGTTAGCTTAAATTTTTTTTATTTGTTTTACACATCTTTAGAGTAGTTAAAAGAGATATTTCTGTATTTAATTATCTAAAGTAAGAACACAAAAATCTGATATGTTATCATACCTGTCATATTAAAACAAGTATATATATATATAATTTATACCACTTTCAAACATTAGAAATGAAAATTACCATTTGTAAAATTATATATAAAAAAACCATGTAACATTTTGAAAGTCTGTATTCGCAGTACTATTTTAGTAAAAAGATATAATTTATCGAGAATTACATTCTGAGTGTGGTAAAAAATTAAGGCATTAAAATGTGTGTGTATTATCGAATATAAATTTGTGTGCATACATTGAATATTAAATTCCTGTTCTCTTGTACATGATCAAAATAAAAAGTCATTGTTAAATCCATAATTCTTTTAGTTAAAAAAAATTATTATTAAATATTTGTGTGGTATCTATTTATTATGTGAGGATTTCTTAACATATTTGTTTTCCAGAATTGACTGATACAAATTTTTCTCACACAGATGTACCTTTTTTTTACTATGGATAACAAATATGCATTTATTGGTAGTTGCACAATTAAAATGTAAAATTCAATAATTTTGATAAATTTCATATAAAGACTTTACACTTGTTATTGAAATATCAACATTGTGTGTTAAAAAAATCTGCAACCCCAGCTGAAATGTATTAAGCATACTCTGGATTTTTTTACATAAGTATTACAGTCTAAATGCTAATATATATTGATATTATCCTGCTAATAAATTTAAGACCTAAATAAATTTGTCACATTGAATTAGTTACAAATATTGACCCAAGAAGTGTACTTAAATCAGTTCTATGATATTTATGGGAAATTAGGATCATGAAACCAAATACGACTTTACATATAGACATTTTCTGTAGGATGTTTACTTTCTGAAAGCAATGGAAATATTCAGAATTTTAATACCTTTTTCAACTCTCTATTTACCTTAAATGAATAACTTGACATTGTTGTTTACAATAATCTATATTCATGAAGAATTCAGTAAAAAAAAGGTAATTTCAGAGAAATGTTTTCAAAAATAAGTGTTTCATCATCCAAAATCACTGATATTTTTGTGTAACTTATGCTTACGGGACAAATTTGGGGTGTTTGTATTGTATATATATAATATCGACAAATTTCTTAAAATAAAAACCGCCAAATGCTGCGATATACAGCCAATAGTAGAAACTGTCCCTGATCACGTTTGCACACAGTAACAATAATAGTGATGTAATTGTTTTTTTTTTTAAATTTGTTATGTCTTTTTGCTTGGCGAAATTAGTCGGCTGTTTAATGCATGTTCCAAAATTTGTGGAATGGTACTAGTACTGATTTAGCATTTCTTAGAGAAACTTTGAAGTAATTTAATATTTTGCTCATGTGTAATTTGGGAAACTGAGAAGTTTCATCAAATTTAGAATGCCCTGGTAAAAGAATCTTGCTTACAATTAGTACACATTGTGATTAATTTATTAATGATAAACTTTGGTAACTTATCGAATTAATAATGATTGTTATTAATTTTCAAACATTAAATTTCAGATTGAGAATTCAGAATTTTTTTTTCTGATGTCGTTTCATCTTCCATTTTTTTAAAGTATTAATGTAATATATAAAATGATACTTCAGTTGCATATCAGTGATAACGAAATAACATGTCATGTATTTGTTTCTTTTATTCAACTTCTTTCTATAAGTTGCATGATTTCAGTATTCTAATTTGTTCTATGTAAATTCTGAAAGTTGACTGTATAGAAGTGGATTTTATAATTCTGCCAGTTTGTAAGATCTGAAATTTCAAAATTCTTGTGATATTTCATTTAATCTAGACCCATACCATATACAATTTCTCAAAAATACTATGTGTAGCTTACCTATATACAAATGTTATAGGTTTTTGCTTTCTAGTTTCTGGTATATTTCACACAGTTGGCAGACTAAAAGACTAGTTTTTGCCATTAATTTCTTTGAAAACAAGGGAAGACCATTTCAAATCTTACTTTTGTAAATTTATTGTATCCAAAAATGAAAAAAAAAAGCATTAATTTGATTAAAATAGTTTTGATAGTATTGAAATTAGAGTAAATAAAATTTGCAGAAACTTTGAAGAAAAAAATGTTTTTATAATTTTTTGTTTACTATTAATTGCCTAATCACTAGGTGTTTAAAAATTTAAGTTTTTATGTCATAAACCTAAAGTGAACATTTTAGAAATTCTACATAATTTGACCTTTTTTATCTATGAAATCTTTGATTTAGGAGATAATGTTCTTTAATTTTTT